ACCACCTCGATCGACACAGCCACGACAACAGGACACAGTACTTATCCCATCCCGGGGACAAAGTGTAAGTACATCTCGGTACAAAACTCCCCTGTCCTATCGGATTGTATCTGTAATAACTGCATCAATTAAGTCACATTTGTAGGGAAGGTACTTACCGAATAAATGAAATAATCAATAGTGACGTAGGGTTTATTATTTTTGTTATTATTAACATTTTTAATAGAATTATTATTGTTATTTTTATTAGTTAGTTTTTATTAGTCACCGGCGTGCTTTGGACCCTATGGTCCGAGGTTCGAGCCCCGCCACCGCCATTCGACTTTGGTGGTAGGCAGCTCCGCTGTTCAATACCACGCCTAACCTATCGGGGCCTTATGTGATTCGCCACTCCAAGTCCCGGGGCTTAGGTTGCCGATTTCAACCACCGAACAGTAGGTCCTCGTGACTATGGGGTTTACCCCGTCTGCTGTTCATCACACCTAGGTGTGTAATAAAAAAAGAGTTACTTTCAGGTCTATTATACACACTCGATTTGGTATGTCATGCACAGAAGAAAGCCACTCAATTCACGAATGTGGATGATAAGGAGAATTGATTTACATAGGAATAAATTTGTGCGGTTGATCAACACCCCGGGCCTTTTAAAAGTAAGATCTTTTCTTAAACTTTTCCGGCGCTTCTTTCGTATTCGACATTAGCGATTCTGTCTGAGGTTAGGTTTACTATCTTTATTGAGCTCTGAGTTCAGACTGTGTGCCCAGCCAATCGCACCCTCAATAATCTTCGTAGAGAGAAAATGTTCCATGGTTTGCTTGTGGGGCGAAATACTACCGAGTGGCTCAGCACAAAACCAGCCAATTTTCCTGGGGCAGTCTACAACCGGTCCGCCTGATCCGTCCGTTTTCGATCAGATTGAATCAGACAGTCTCAGCCAGGGGTGTCAGTCAAGCCAGCATCAGCTGGAACAGTTGTGCACATACCGACCCGATCGATTTGGGCGAACACATTGAGCGGTACTCGCTCCCATCATTTTCATTGTTGGATCCGGTGTTTTTTCTTCGTTCGTGATTTCCTAATATTGCCAATGCAAAGCAGACGGTGAACTTTGAGGTATGAATTTAGACACTGGTTAGGGTTAGGGTTTTCATACCCTCATACCACGTCTTAGTTTGATAGCCTTCGACCTTTTTCCATCCACTGCCTATCC